TGCCATTTCAAAATTATTAATCTTAATTATTCATCATTTTATATTTCCCTTGTGTTTACCTTATACGTTTACGTACTTTAAACAACTTTCCCCACATTTTTACCTCTTTTACTTTGTAGTTAATTATAAAAGTTGTAGAAAAGTGAATGATCTTTTCAATTCTCCAAATTTCTTCTTCACTTTAGCTGTTCTACTTCTTCCCACTCTTGGTTTTCTGACTTAATAAGGAAAACCGATTAAAATTTAAATAGGGAATGAGGATTTCAAATCTTCTTAAACCATTTACAATATTGCAGTCTCTATTCTCGATTTCAGAAAAGCAAAAATTGAACTCAAAAATGAGCATAATGTTCGGAAAGAGATATGCAAAATATCTGCATTAATTTAAAATGAGGAGAACTAAAATAGTAGGGTCATATTGACTTCAATAGAGAGCATTACATAATGTTCGAAATATAACCTTGAGATGTGACGTTAGGGTGGAAAAAGAAAAACTACTACTACTACTTACTTACTTAAATATCATCAGAATTGGAAAGATATTTCGCGCAATTTTGCGAACGTGCGCACGTGTTTGCATTAATTAAGGAAATAATTGAATAAGCAAAAATGCGATCGATAGACACTAATTGTCAACATGTAAACTTTATAAATTCGCTGACTTTGCTGTGAAATGTTGTCTTTTCCAACTGGTTCCCTTCTACTTCGAGAGTTGAAGCTATTTAACGCTCCCTTCCACGAATCATTGTCCTACTTGAAGCATACCAACCCACACTTATACTACCGTTTCCTTTCTTACTTTCAGAATAGGACAAGCCTTTCCGACTTAAGAATGCCCCTTGAGAAGCCTTTTTCCGTCTTCGTCCACTTACCCAGAGACATTCCAAATCTTGCTTGGTCTTTTTCGAAGAGAACACCTTCACTCCTCCATGGTATCTCTCTTTCTCTCTTTATTTCCTTCATTTTTTCAATCATTCATTCATTCTGTGTTCCACATTTTATATTTCTCTTATCATCCTTCTCTGTTTTACTCGTGCCTCTCATTTTCAAATGTACTTTATATGTCGAAGGTGGAGAACCCATATACAAGGTACGAATTGCAGTATCCCACATGTTTTGGGTATTTCCAGCTAACCGGTTGTTATGCTTTAGATAGTGTGTTTAGCAGTGAATGGGTGGAGTGTTCAATGATTCAGGTCTCATCTACCATAGCTTTCGTTTTATTTTTTTAAGATTAAGCGTATTATGAACTATTTGGAGCATAAGTCACCACAAGAGATCTATTTCAACTTGTCTTTAATATGCATATTCTCTTAACAATCACCTGTAAGATATTGTGCCCTCGTATTGTTTAATTGTATTTAATTGTAGAATTTGTATGGATTTGATAGTTGAAATCGAACTATTGGATAGAACATTGGGCGAGGCGGGGGTGGGGGTGGGAGTAGACAGCGTCTGAGTGGTGAAGATGAGTTAGTATTTGTGTCTTTTGATGCTCCCAATGTGGAGCTGCATTTTGCTCAAAGTCATGAAATTGGGTTTGAACAGGGAATTTTTGATGGAAACCTTATTCGTCAGAGGAATAAGCAGCCTTCTTTTCCCTTTAACCCATATCAACAATAATTACAATGGTAATTTATGCTCTCAATTGTGACTTCCCTATAGAAGATGGAGAGAAGAAAGATGTGGAATCAAGGGGAGAAAATATTGAGAAGATGAAGGAAGGTGAGATAAGGCCGATGACAATTGCCATGCCCTTCGAACCTCCTCCACCACCAATCAAGTCGGACAGTCTGCCCACCATTTCTGTGACCCTAATGAGATCAAGGAGGATATGTGGTAGGTATTTCGACTGAGTTAAGGAGATGTGTTAAATAATTCAGAGTGAGATGGAAGGAGAGACATAGAAAGAGGTCCAATCAATTGCGTTGACGCATCCTCAGAAGAGTATGTAAGTAAATAAGCTGGACAATCAATGGAGATCAATATGCGAGAGTGAATGATTAATTTCATTCCTTTCTCTGTTTTGCCAACTTTTCAAAAATCATCTAAGTCTTAACTAGAAATTCAGTAAGTAATTCGATTTTAGTTAGGGTTTTGATAGGCAGAGTTGATTTTTGTACTCAAAACTAGTATCTAACCACAAATTTATATATATGAGTAATAGAATCCACAAAACTATCTTAATGAAAATTATAACCCTGTTCAGATCTTCCTTGGTATGACAGAGAAGTAATGGGTTCCGAAGCTCAATACATCCTTTATGATGAAGATGCCACAAGTGAGACAATCTCCGAACGAAGAGGTGGAATTCGTGTTGAAGAGGAAGGAGAAGAGGAGGTAGAAGTGTTATCAAGACGCAGAGACCTCCGAGGAACATTTGAAATCAAGAGGCTGAGTGATGAAAAGCTGGAATATGGAATAGAGCCTGAGAAGACGTGCTTGAGAGAGTCCACACTGCCTCACTTCATTCTCAATTGTTCGTGTGAGTCAGAAGAAGAAGATGAGGAAGAGAAGCTCGCCACCAATTCTCCACACCCTTCTACTGACGATACGGAAGGTATGAGCTTTCGCCTTGTGTCTAATTCGTTAAGAATTTGTTATTGGCTAAAAGGATTGTTTGGAATATCATGTGATTTGGTTTCGTATTTTTCCTCTACCAGTTGCCGCCTCCATCACATCACCGTCAACCACACGTCGTCAATGGTTCAAGGGTTTGCGGAGTCGTCTTCGGCGTATTTTCCTGTGTTGCAATATATTCGACGAGGACTAGATTCACCTATTTACTATTTATTCACTTTTCTGATTATCCTACCAATACATATCTACAATGATTTTTCACCTTACATGTTCTCTTATAAATCGACAATCAACTTTTGAACCGCATATTATGCTACTTTATATTGATATGTCTGCGCCAAATATATCCCCTTTGCAAATTGAATGGAAGGAGCTTTTAGTAAATGCTTTCAGCTTTGGTTCTTAATGGCAAACCTGGTTTCAACTTTGGAGTGGAATCTGTGTAAGTCGCTCTCTTAAAGGCTTATGTGCCAGTGTTGTTTGGGTAAATATTGTAACTTGAATGAGAAAATGGGTCCTTTTAATGAAGTAGAATGTTGAATGGAAGTTATTGGGGCATAGGAAAACGAGGGAGAAACTAGTCGTGTCATGTTGAAAGAGGTAGAAGGCAGCTGCTAGCAACAGAGTTTATTAATGCGGGGTACGCGATAGATTTATCTCCACGTAGTGCACCTTGGACAACGTATATTCATACAGCAAAAAACGTCTATCACTAGGCATTTGACTTCTATTTATTATGCTTAGCTTTAAACGAAGCTATTAGAGAAATCGCTTTAATCAGGCTGAATCACAAATTTTACAGATCCTTCTGTGAAATGATGGCGGAATGTCGCAGGACAAAAAGATCCAAATCCAGAAAATCGTGCATACTTATGATAAAGACATATTCGCAATCATGGAAGCAAACCTTACGGGTGACAAACTCAAATACTACCAATTCTCAGGTTAAACTTTATACCTAACTGAAGTACTACCAATTCTCAGGTTACACCTTGTACCTCCTGAAGTACTACCAATTCCCAGGTTACACCCTGTGCAATCTGCTAAATACCGGCAAGTTGCAAGTGGAATTGTGACTGGAGTGAAAGAAGGCCTCACATCACGCCAAGATCTAATCAAGAGTATGGGGTCGACGCAAGCCATATGCGAAATAATCAGATTAGAGGTTTGGAAATATCAAAACCACTTCAAAATACACGCAGTCTATAATCCACTCCAGAATAGTTCCAAGTTTGATCTTCTGAACACCTCACGCAATACTGTAGTATAAGGAAATTTCAACGTCCATTCGACCAGATGGGGCTATAAGAATACAAACATAGCTGGAAAGGAAATCAGGGCTACAAGGATACAAACATAGCTGGAAAGGAAATTGAAACATGCTAAACCAATAAATGCTAAACAGCAATCCTCTGGAACTTATTTACAGCAATGGACAAGGCTACAAACATAGCTGGAAAGGAAATTGAAGACATGCTAAACAGCAAACCATAGCTGGAAAGGAAATTGAAGACATGCTAAACAGCAACCATCTGGAAAGGAAATCGAAGACATGCTAAACAGCAACCCTCTAGAACTTATTTACATCATTGCTAGTATTACCATCACCAGCAAAAGCATGACAACAATATTGAGGGAGAGGGGTGTGTGATAGACTAATCATCACGAGGTGCACTCATACGGCAAAGAAGTCTGTAAACCGGCAGTTGACTTCTGACCCCACTGTACGTCATATTCCACCTCTGTCACAGTACTCACATCAAACTTTGTCTAAATTTTCTACCTTCGTGTTTGAAACACTCTTCTGTTCCCACACCCCCCCCCCAAATCTTGACTTTTTCACTTTGATGTTCCCACGGTGTTTTAATTGCGGGTAAGGATAGAGGTCTATGCATTTCCTCGTCATGCGAAAGCCTAGGCACGTTTTAAGATGCCTGTGTTCATTTGATCAGGCTTGATGGCGAAACGCTCTCCACCCATCTCATTCATTGGTCTACGTAAGATGCCCTGTTTGAAAACTGAAACCCACCAACACTTTATATTTCTCAAATACGTGGTGACGATGTTTAACAGAATAAGATGGAATTCCTGCAACTTCTCACTTCGAGTGGTTACAAGTAATCATTCCACCTGTTTGTTTGCATCGAAGGTACTTCAAATAGGTAACCGACTATTCTAGGTTATAATTGACAATGCGTATTTTACACCAAATGTAAGAATGCATGGATAAGAGGGAGGATTTTGGTAGGTCAAGAAGAGGGCAAAGAGCATAATCGGTCACTTAGGATGAATTCCATTACACAGAGTTGAGGATTGCAATTAGTTGGAAGGGAGAAGATACATGGTCTAACGATGACCGATTCTCAACTAACAGTACGCCACCAAGCAAATAGCCCATGGTGTATTAGAAGAAGACAAAGATAGCAACCGATACGATAACACTTGGCAGGAAATAAAACAGAACAGAGTCTTTTAAACATAATCTCATTGTTTTGGAAAACTTTTCGGGAATATGCCAGCTTCTTATTACATTCCGCCCGTGACCAACATTCAATGTTTAGACTAGGAGATGATATCTAAATTGCCACAGAAGTTATTGGATAGACCAAGCAAATAGAAAATATTCATTCTACTTCTGTTAAAAGATGTTTTTTCATGATGGTTCATCCACCTCACCGTCATTCCCCTTCACCTTGAACCACGTTTCCACTCCACATACTGCCATGTCTATCGCAATGGCCTGCTGAGATGAAATGAAAATGTGATTGACAATTCGCAGTTCCATCAGCAACTAGTAAAGAGCCAGAGGTAAAGAATCATTTCACTTCTGTTTAAAGATGTTTGCTTGCTCTCTCAATCTCATGATGGTTCACCCACCTCTCCGTCAATCCCCCTCATCTGGAATCACGTTTCCTCCATCACGATGAGTAATGCCCACATTATTTCATCAAGAGTTGTGCTCAATCAATATAACAGTGGCATTTTCAATATAACAGTGTCTCCGCATTCGCCAGTCCAATCTACCAACGTTCATTCTCGGCAACCAAGTAGGTCAACGTGTAAGCAGATTTAGAAATGCAATTTTCGCCGTGGCATGACAGCACTTTAATCAGCTCTTACGAGTTTGAAGTCATTTTGAGCACTATTTATCTCGATTTGCATCGAATCTTAGTTCACTCTACCCAATAAATCAAATAGTGCCTTAGTAAACGGTGGCTATAGCAGTGCAGCTGTGATCGTGATTAAACTGGCTTTTGGTAATTGTCAGGTAATGTGCTTTAATTAGCTATAATTGAACAAGATTTTTGCTTTGACCAGATGAAGAGGTGACAACAAGTGATTACCCCACTTGCCAAACATGTACTTCATTAAATTCATAAATCGATCTCAAGATGAGGTTGCATGAGGAAGGTGCGTATTTACAAATAAAAGGATAACGATGGTAAGATAGAAAGGAGTAATACATAATGGAAGGCAATATCTGGAGGGCGTGTCAAGTCAGGGGAAGTGAAGGAGAATATCCTTGACGTGGGAGTTGGATTTGAAATCGACCTGACGTCTGGGCCGTCTGTTGGGAAGCTTGCACTTCTTCTCCTCCTCACACCGAGGTCTACTTGGTTCATCTCCTGACATCTTAGTTAGGCCATGTTTGGTCAGGTAGTCTTGTACTTGGTTCTCGCTCACACCCTCCACACAAACCGACCTCCACATCTCCACCAAATCAGTGCCAACTCTGAGGTCGAATCGTGCATCATTGAAGTAAATGACTCTCTTCTTTGTCCTTGGGTTCGTGTAAGCCAACACAGTGTCTCCAAGACTCTACGCACAAGCAGAAAAGAACTGCGTGAGTAAAGACCACGAGAAGGAATCTAGCAAGGGAGCAAGGGAGCAACCAAAAAAAGAAAGAAAGAAAGAAGGAAAGAAAGAAAGAAAGAAGTGAGCAAAAATGTGGGATGAAAATGTGAACTACAACTTCGTGCATAGACTCACTTTCACCACTTTGTCTGCATCTTTCACGCATTCGGCAATGTCTTCGTATTCAATACCTCCCAATCCATTGATTTCGCAGTGCTTCAACAGTCCGTAGATTTCCATTCTAATGTGGATGTCATACTTGGGTTGGAAGTAGAATTTTCCACCCGGAGCAATGCCTATTTTGGGATTATTTGGGAGAGCTTCAGTCTCCAACCGCACAAAGTTGCTCTTCGTCTCATCACGTATGAACAGTTCATCGAGAATTTCTTCCACTGAGGGAGCTGCGAACAAGCCATCAAGATGACGCTTCTTCAAGTAATTCACTACTCGGCAAAGCAACGAGAATCGGCCTTGGCTTTCTCTTTGTGGAGTGCAGAATTTCACACTCGATTGAAGTGCAACATTGAGGGCCTCATGTTGGGCGCTAATTTCATTACTACTACAGTTCCTCGTCACACCCAGTCGAGGCTTCTTGACTTGTGATTGAAAAGATGTGGGAACATCACCAGGACGTTTACGACAAACTTTGCTTTCTCTTCCCAACATCATCCGATTCACTCCAGATACAATGCTCTCTCAAATGAAAATGGAGCCTTGTTGAGGGATGCGAATTCAAACAAATTCATATATTATAGTATTTTAAGGCAGTATTTTTCACTCGCTTTAAACTAGAATGTTAATGTTCTTAATTTTAGCCAGATTTATTTGTTTTCAAGTGTTATTTAATAGAGCGAATTCCCTCTTCATTTAACTTATCAAATTTTGTCTAGATAAATGTTCTGATTTTTTGCCTTCAGGTAAATGAAATATTTATAGTTGGATTCAAAGTAAAAAAAATTGTTCCCACCGTTTAATTTTTAACTTAAAACTTTCAAGACTAATTAATCTTGCATAGAGCCTTTTATTGACAGCTTTCTTATGTTACATTTTGGAATCCATCCTATAAATTTGTCCTATGAAATCTTCATCATACATTAAAAAATTATATATCTACTAAATGGTTTGCAGTAGTATTAAAATACTTAAGTGTTTTTTTTTGTTTGTCATAGTATATTAGATAAAAATGCGCTCTTAAATCATTTAAACAGCAATATAAATATTTTTTGTTTAAATGCATGTATTTGCCAAATCTAGTCAATAGTACTTCAATTTCTGTGTGATAAAAAACAGTTTTACTTGCTCATCAATATGCCGTAAACACTTCAATCGAATTTCTGTATTTCAATAATGAAGTAACTTACAGTTTTCTTAAATCCGCAATGGTATTAGACATTGATAGTCTATCCACTGTTTCGATGTGAGAGAATTGATGCGCATGAGGGGAATTTTCTCGTGATCTCTCACTTTAAAAATGTACTTTAGAGGGATAACAAGATTTTGCAATCACTTTAATGTAGCTACTTGACACAAAACAGACTCTCCTCCACAATTAGTTGTGCGAATTGCAATTTTCGAGGTTAACCATAACTGGCCAATCGATGAAGTTGGATTTTCTGCATGTGCTTTATAATCGTGCTACTCTAGTTGTGCGTAAATTAATCCGTTTGTTCATTTTCATTTTGTTCCTATTTGGCCAAGTTTTAATTTAAAACCCACTATCTTTTTTTCAGATATTGTAAGCCACCATTACGCAAGTGGTGCTTACGAAGCTTTAAGGCCAATATTTTAAAGTTATTAAATGGGCAATAAGTATGATTCGTTTGAATTATTATGTAAAAATGCTTTTAACAAGTTATCGAATTCAAAGCGTCATCAAACACTTCTTGAGTCATTAATTAACCAGCTCTAATCTATTCAATGTTAACACAATTGAATTGGTCTAATTGATTTAATGCAAAAATGAACTTGTTTGAGGTTGCTTCTGACAAAGTTTAACAGAACCCGCTAACGAAATTGTGCATTTTCCAGGGCAGAGCCCGAATGCAAAAAGTTTTTCAAATCAAGAGATCTCCGCAAAGACAGTGAACGATACTGCTTCTCACACGTCTCGTCAAGGCTAAATCATTACTTAACATTTATCACAAATAACTTTGAATCTTTAGTTCGCCTTGGTAAAATTAACGACATCTATCTCTATATGAGCTACTAAATTACACTGACGTTCATTGACCAATTTTCATATTGTTTAAGTAAAATTAGCTTTGAGAGGTGGGGTGCGCGAGAGACTTACCTCCACGTGGTGCACCCTGGGCAACATATGCTCATACGGAAAAATGTCTATTTATCGGCAGTTGACTTCTCTCTTCTAACTACCAACACCCCATTGTATGTCATATTCTACCACTTCCATAGTACTAGCCTCACCTTTTCTCTGCCTTTGTGTCTGTCAATTTTACACCTTTGAAACATTCCTCTCTTCCCCTCCCCCCTCTCCTCTCGATTTTTTTTCACTTTGATGCTCCTCTCCCTCTGTGAAGCCTGAAGTCAACTAAAGGGCTAATGATAACCATCAAAACGCCTGCCATTTGATATAAATCTTTGAGAGGTGCGCTTGAAATCATCTTTGGTGATATTAAATCTCCTGACGGCGTCACGAGGTTTGTTCGTGACTTATGTGATCAAAACACCGGATGACATGTTTACTACTGTTTTATGTTTTGCCGGTTCGCGTCAAGTAGTACTGAAGTGCTTCAAAGAACTCTGTGCAATGGAGTACCGTACTTTAAATGTCCTTCACACCCACTCCACCCAAATTTCTGTTTACTTGAAACTAATTATTTATCCTCATTTAATAAAAATATTTGACCATTTTTTTGGATAAAAAAAACTCCACTATCTCCTTTTTCAGTTATGTTCTCCCAGCATTTGTAAAGCAACATTATGATCTTGGAGCCTACGATGTCGTAATATAAACATCGAGAGTTTAGAATGGATAGAATTTGCTTCGCTCAGGCTAAACTCGCATTAATCAAAATGAATTACTCCCGGTTGCTTTCGTGTCAAAATTCTTTCCAACTGCGTTTGCAGACCCCAATGAGAATTCATGCCATTCTTCTTATTAGTATTACATATAAAAACTACTATTCCTTTTTTCGTTTTCTGAAAGGGAGACTTTTAAATGAATTAGCAACAATAATAAACACTTATACTTAGACTGTAATTAACCTAGTTGTAATTAGGTAGCAAGTCAAGTTAAAAACTAACACGATTAGGGCGAAAGCGCTCTTTGGGACCTTAAACTTCAAGAAGTCAAGACAATTCAGACAACATTGTGGTTTTGTTCATTCTGAAAGTCACCAACATCTGTGAAAATGTTTCAATTGTTTTCTTTTCAATAGGAAATGTGGTGAAATTGAAATGTTTTCTTGAGGTGTTCCGCCTGAAAATTCGCATGTCAAAATCAAAAAGAGGTATAATTGAAACAAATCTTCACGTTTTAATCTGAGTTATGAAAGAAGGCGAAAAGTCTAACATAAAGAGCATCAATTTTGCTGTTCTCGTTTTTTAATTTGTTTTTTTCTTTTTACCAAGGAAACTGTATTCTGTTTCCTACCTATTGGAATCATAAACTACTTAAGAATTTTCTGTCACTCTTCAATAGGAAATGCATCTGGATTTACGAAAGGAGCTTTAAGCTCACGATATTTGATGAACTGCAAGTGCCGTTATCGAATTGCTAATAGCCATTTTAGTCTGTAGATATGGTAATAGAAAGTGAGAATATTTCAAGTATTGGACGCAAATAAAAGCACTTAGTTTGGTAGAGTAGCAACATCTGTAGGCTTCCAAGTTCTATATAGCAAGACTGAAATGCATAAATGCCTTTCAAATTTCAAGTAATTCAATAAAATCTAGCATTTCTCGGAACATTATTAAAAAAATTGTCGGAATTTCAAGTAGTTCAGTGTTTATCTTAAGGTGTAAAGTAGAGAAGGATAAATATCTTCGAATAAATTAAACTTTTTTCAAAGCTATTGTAAGCAAAGAAGGTACTGTTAGATTTTTAGCGGATTGCTACACCAACAAATCGTCTATACTCATTAATCTCTATGGCAGATTCTCTTATGTTTGGAAGGACTCCCAGAACTAGCCAAGATACTGCAAAGCTGTCGATGAAGCAGACGTCTCAAGTGGAACATGTTTATTGGGTAGGTAAGGTACAGATAGTCAAGGCATACACTTGCTAATATGATTACTACGTAATGACTTTGGCCAACAATTAGTCGGACAACCACATAGTTTGATTAATTTTTGATTGGTTATCTTGGCTTTGGTCATTGACTGATCTAGGGGCGTCAGCTCTTGTCATGCAAAAGTTGCGTTCCCCACAGATTCACGAAATTTCAATTACATTTATAAGTTCATATTTAGGACTTGTGGATGCAAAAGCATTATAGCACCCAATAATCTATCTCCAATGCCATATGCATGTCTATTTATATTTGTTTATAAAGATATTCCTAATAGTTACCACTTATTTAAATGATATTAGTAAAACTCTGAAAATTACAATTACTGAACAACGATACTGAAGATCATTTGTTTCAAGTCATGACAGAATGCAAAAATGTCCAGCAAATGCATATATTTAGGGCAAAGTTTAAAGAAGCACTAGTCGATGATTACCCTAGAAGGTCTCTGAAAACATGACCACTTTTGCTCAATACTCGATCGATCGAAATCAGAACTTCACAAAATATTCTAGTCCGTGGGAAGTTAATTTGATTAGACTTGGAAGAATTGAACACTCAAACTTTATAGTTTCGAAGCTATGTAACTAATCTTAAAATTATTCTACGCATTATCACAAGTCACAACTCAATGCTCAGTTTTCGATTTCCTGTTTGTTGATCTTAATCTCTTCGTTTCTTCTCCGTGTACTCTATCCCAATTCTGGCATATTTTTAAAGAGGTATATGGGAAATACCACATGTGCAGATGTCTTGTCGGCTAAGATTAACCGAAACCACGGCTTTCAATCAAAATTTATAGGCTGCAGGCAATCATCTTGCATCCATCTTTCAACTTGCAGTTTCTTGAGCCTGTCAATTTAACGCCTTCAGAGAAAAATCTTTCCGCATGTCCCATTATTTGCAGTTAGTAGCTCAATACTCTGAAAATTCTTGTTAACAGTAGCAAGTGGTCGAAATACGCCATGGCCTACTTTCCTCTGCCTCCAACTTAGCAGAACTAGTGTCCCCATTACAATTAGGCCCTCTGTGCAGCCAATAAAATAGCCCAATGCAAAGGCAGTTGGGATAAAAAAACACAACAACCCTCTCCAAACTTGACCCCTACAACTCACAGCCACATATTTAAACCTTATGGCTTAAATCCAACATCACTAGTGTCCTGGTTGAGCCCATATTTGTCTGAGAGAAGACAAGCGCTTTGATTATGAGAAAGCCGAACTAACTCCTCCTTGATTGCGACTAAATAAATTTCACAAATAATATGTGGCAACTGATTGACCAATCTCTAATCACTCAGACTGAAGATGAAGACTAGATCTTCTGTACAAACTGCATGTGCCTCATAGAACCCCATCCAATAATTAAGCCGAGGTTACGTAAAAATGCCAATAAATTATGCCGAACCTCAAGAACAAAAGAAGTGGATTTCTGTTCATTCAAGTTAATCATATTATATTTTCTAAAGTTAAAGGAAAATCTGAAGATTATAGAGTGGGGAAGATAACTGTGTGAAGTACTAAAGTCAAAATACCGAGTTGCAGGTTAGGAAATCAGTAGAGAAGCTAAGATGTGGTCGACAAAATCACAGAGCACCATGTCAGTATCTCAACTTATTGTACAAAGAGAATCACTATTCGAAAGTCCACTGCGCACCCAACGCTCGTGGTTTTCCGTATACGGTGGATAGCGGAACCTGAAAAAAGGTACAAATGCTCAAATCAAGAGGGTAGTATGTGTAGAGGTCACCAAATGCGCTAACCAAATGAATACAAATCATTTCGGACAAAAAAGTTACTACAGACTTACAAATAGTTCATTTTCTCAATATTAGATTTGTCAAGTACAGAACGAGGATTAGAGAAGGTGGCAATAGACGCCTCTTCATAATATCTTCCCATTCCAGAGTTTCCGACACCACCAAAGGGCAAACTAGATGCTAAAGCGAAAGAAACATTCACCAACTAGAAGCTGCCAAGAGTTAGAAACAGGTTAGACTTAAGTCGACTTGCCAACGACATACCTGCTAGTTGCATAATGCAGTCATTGAATGTAATCGAACCAGAAGTAGTTCGACGTTTCCAGGATTCTTGGATTTCCTTATTAGTAGCGAAAACGTAATTTGAAAGTGGTTTAGGCCTAAAAGGAAACTGAGT